ATGGCATAGATTGGCTTTCAAAACCAAACTTTTAAATTAAGATTGCAGTAGGCAAGATACTAATTTCATCGCACCTTTGCATTAGTTATGCCATTTTTGATCTTGAAGAGATTCTGCTTACCTTAATTAAGAGACTGTTGATTGATTCTGGTTTGATTAAAATATAATTGAAATGCTGACATTATTTTATAAATATTCCTTTGACTTATGTTTATACCTGTATCTTCTGTAAATTAAAGATGGCTTCAATAGAGTCTTCCCAATGGAGAAGCTGAGTTCCTTCAGCCATGAAGAAGTTCAGATGATTCTTTGTGGAAATCAGTCACCTTCTTGGGCAGCTGAGGATATAATCAATTATACTGAACCTAAACTGGGATATACACGAGATAGGTACTTATATTCTAAGTGATTTTAAAATAGTAGCTAAAAGACATGTTAAGTGATAAAATGTCCAGAATGTTCGTTAGGTGAAGACACCAAAATGGATGGGATTGGTGGTCACTGAAGAGGAAGCGATTGTCTAAAACTACATGAAATAACCATGTATGTTACAATAGATAGGTTAGAAGGTACTTGGTGTTTTTGTGATGAGAGAGGATAAAAAAATCGAAAATACTAAAATGTGAACAACTAGTGGAAATGTAATGGCAGCTAACTAATACAGGCTATTAAAAATAGCATTTTAGAGTTGTTCCTTTCATCTGTGGTGGTACTTATAATTCCTGTTCAGTCAGGTATAGTTGTTATTTGTCCCTTATTTCCTATTTCTTTCTCTTCAAGTGTAGTTAAAATGTACTATGCAGGCAGCAAATATACTGGTGATTGGCTATCAGGAGGTGGTCTTGATGTTTTGGGGTTTGTTGGGCTTGGGTTGTTTTGCTGCTTGTCATGTTTAGTAGCAATAACATACAAATTACTTCTGGAACTGTGTTAACTGTGTTAACTCCAGTATAAGCATGCTGGAGGATCCTAATGGCCAAGAGCGATTCTTCCATTGACCCTGCCCTGCCTGCAAAGATGCAGCTGAGATTACAGTGCCTGATACCTGAGGGCGTGTTTCAGCAGGCTGTGCTTTCTTCATGCCCTCTCCTCCTGCTTGTTCCCTGGGCTGGTATGGATGAAAGCAATGGTATCTGGAGGATTCCTTGAAGATCTGCTGTAGTTTGTTATATTTTTCCTGGTTTTTTTTTACATGAGGGTCTTTAACAGGATAGAAATAAAGTCATATATAAATTGAAGTGGCTTTATACTGCAGAAGTGGTACAGAAAAGGTTTTAAGATTACAGTCAGTTGGATTCTTCTCGTTACGTTTGAGCTCTGTCTACTTCTCTACTCATTCATATGCATGATACCCAAATAACACCCCAAGATAAGGGATACAGAAAAGTTCTTGTTTACCTGTATTTTTCTGTGTAATACTAAGCAAGGAGATTAAAGAAGTGTTTTTATGGATTTTATGATGTTTTATTCTTAACTCAATACTGAACAGGCACTAGAATCTTTAAATGACTGCTTAGACATAACTAAGATTGTCATTATTCTGTCTCAAGAGAAATTGAAAAAAACCCCACTCTCTTGTAATGTTATCAAAACTAACTATTTTAATTTCTTTTAAGCCCTGGATTCCTTCGATTTGTGAGAGTCTTGTGTGGTATGTCTTCAGATGAAAGGAAGGCTTTTCTCCAGTTCACCACTGGTTGTTCAACACTCCCACCAGGAGGACTGGCAAACCTGCATCCCCGGCTCACTGTTGTACGCAAGGTACGGCTTCTTCAGGTTGCCCTTCAAACCAGCTGTTTTGGCTTTTACCGTAATCGTTGCTACATTAAGAAATAACACTGATGATTTTTTTTTTCTTCTTTCTTTTTGGTTTATAACTTATGACACTGTGCTAAGCTTTCAGTACTAATCTCTTTCAGGTCTGTTCTGTGACTTCATATTGAATATAAAAGAATTAATGTACATATAAAGTAAATATATTTATAAGTTGCTCTGTAGCTTTCCTGATGCTAGTGTTTCTTGACAACTGGTGTTATGTGTGCAGTAAATGCCATGAATTAGAGGACCTTACTACTTTTAACTTCCCTATCGAGTGCTGTGAAGAACTGCGTAAAAAACGTTCTCTTTTCCTCAGGTTGATGCTACAGATGCAAGTTACCCATCTGTGAATACATGTGTGCATTACCTGAAGCTGCCCGAGTATTCTTCTGAGGAGATTATGAGAGAGCGTCTGCTAGCTGCTACAATGGAGAAAGGCTTCCATCTCAACTGAGCCCCTGACTGCAATGTGGGACACCAGAAAGTGTTTTTTGATACTAGCGAAGCCTCTTGTGTTTGTGTGCAAAAAATATGATCTCCACGCTGTGCTCTGATGAGACTTGCCTTTTTTTTCACCTGTGAGGCTTTAGGAACATGTGGAATAAGTTTGTTAGCTGCTAATGACAAAATAAAACCTTGTAACTACACAGCCAGCAAGAAATTGGCACAGAACACTGTGTGATGCTTCAAGGGCTTGCACAACTGGAAATTAAGGTGGTTCTGTTTGACTGTTCCAAAGAACAGATCATCAGATTTTCAGTGTTCACTGATACAGATTTCTAACATTGTATTTGTGTAAAGTTTGTCATTTAATACCTTGTACACTACAGTTGCCATCACTGATCCCTGTTTTGCTGGCTTAAGCTGACTGGTCAGAAACTTGCTTCCTTAAAACTTAGAGTTAATGGGCATCTCCAGCTTTTTCTTTTTTAATGGTGCCTGCACTATTGGAGTATTTTAGTGGGTTTTTGCATATAATCATGCACAACCTTTTTTTTTTTTTTTTCTTTCAAGTGGGAATATATTTTGATTTCTCAAATGCCCTGCTATAAAGATCAAATCCTTAAGTGTGTTTGTGCAGCTCAACAATAAAGCTATTAAAAAACACTGGTTCCTAGTACAAGGCACACTTAAAGCAAGTTTTACTTTTGGTTGTATTTTCTTTGTATATTATAAACATTTATTTAACTTGTTGCAGTTTGAAGTTTAAAAAAAAACACCCAATGTGTAAGCTCAAAAGTAATCATTAAAATGTTTGCAACATATAAAACTGTCTCCTCTGAATACTTCATTAATACTTCTTATGTTATTAAATCTCTGTACGTGTTTTGAACAACGTACCATACTTTTTTCCAAGGTTTAAAAGAACTACGTGGCAGTAATTGATCTCACAAAGTCATCTCTGCGCTCAAATCTTTGCAAAATTACACAGTGCAACTTTTTAAGAACTAGTTTGGCAGTGATAACGCTGCCTGTGGCAGTTCTTGGTGCTCTCTAGTAGGCCCGTGGGACCAGAGGTTATAGTTCTTCATTACATTGGAATAAAAACTGGCTCAGATGAATGCAGCTGATTCAGCTTTACTTGAGATGGGGTGCCTGTCATGGTTTCAGCGTGTGGTGAGGTATTTGTTGGTAAAAAGTGGCTTACAGTAATATAAAGCAAGATGCTAATATGTCTTCAAAGGTATTTAAGTACTTGATACTAGGAAAGAAAAATTGTTATTTCAGTTGAATCTGTGTGTAAGTTTTGTTCTATGCCAGTTCTCTTTGGTAGCAATCTTTGCTTGGCCCACTGCTGAGGGAGGGCTTGCCAAAAGATTCTGCCTCACACATGTAAATCAGGTTGATGCCACATTTTTTTTTGTGGCATTATTCATAGGACTTTGCAGGCATTGTCTTTGGAAATTCTCCCCTGTGCAAAACTGAAGGGGAATCTCCACCCTGCCCCAACTCCCCTGACTATTGTGCTTCAACAAGACAGTCGCATAAACCTTCTGTACAAGTATCTGCTCCAGATCCCATGTCAACTTGTTTTGCTGAATGTGGTGTTATTTTATAGCTACGTGGACTGTTCTCCCACACACCACTTCCCTCTCTGCTCCTTAGACCCTGGTTTCTAGGTGCAATTTAGATGTGACCCATACGTGCTTTCACACATAAAGCTCACACGGGAGATGCTCTTTCAGCATAAAGTTATGCCTAGTGTTGGTGTGGGGGTTATGAAGAAGGAGCCAGATACCTTCATGCTAGAAAGGTAAGTGAAAGTAAGCTCAGCTTGTGAGCTCCTCGGTGCCTTGCAGCGCACTACACAGGTATGAATTGGCATGTCGTACGCCTGGGAATACGAGTTAGGGTAGGTAGCTACATCCTCCTACTCCAGAAGAAAGGTTTGTTTGTCTGCTAGCTGGTACTGAGAAACCTGCACATCTTCTGTAGACGTTTTAATCGTGACTCATGGATAGAATATAAAAAAATAACACCTGTGTGCCAAAATGGAAAAGATTTTGTGTAATTTATGAAGCCAAGATGATAGAAGATGATGAAAGTTTTTATTTTCATTATCTTTCATTAATGTTACAATATTTAAGTGCCAAATACTTCTAGTTACAACTTAAACAGTATGCAGGAATCCCAAATCTATACTTAAGTTATTTACATTACTTTTGTAATCATAACTTCCATGGAAAAGGCAGTGAAACCAGCTTTTTGATGAAGGCTGAATCTAGTTTAGAAGTGGTCATAAAAGTTACAGAACTTTAATTTACAGTACATCTGTATGAAAATAAGTTGGTGCTTGAAAGAGGTACTGAAACTCAGTTTGAATTTGTATTTCCATATTTTCTGTCTGCTCCTAGGTCTGGCACAATGCTACATAATTCAAGGTGATTCCTAGATGGTCAAGTTTCCATTACTTTTATCCCCAGCCAATTTAAAAAAAGATAGGGACTGTTCTAGAAAGATTGCTGCGCTGTCAATAAAGCTGCATCTAAAATGGAAGGTTCTGCTTAGTGTTTCACTGTATATTTCCATTAGGGCCATAGGGTATAGGAGAAACAGGAAATATTTTCCAACTAATTTGAATATTGCCCGAGTCGGTCTTACAACATCAGAGAACAGCTGTCGGTATGCTCCTGGTGATTTCACCATCTTTTGGCAAATGCTGTAGTCAGTCTTGCATCTTGCTAGCTTTCTGCCACTTTGTCAAGCACGGACAGAGGGGCAAGAATTCTGTTCCTGTTTGTTTCCACGATGCAACCATTTAGCACCATCTCATCCAAAATGATGTGCACTCTGTCCAAATTGAACATGATCTAGAAACATTTCAAGTTAAGTATATTTTGAACATGAAGATAATTCAGAGAAAACCTTAGGCAGCTTAGTCTTTGATTAAAGTGTACAAAAATAGGTATTTCTTAATTTGTTCTAGTTATTCAGCTATTTATTTTAACAGAGCTGGGGAATCTGTTCAACTGACGCTTTTTTTCTGACCACAGAGATGTCAGATGTTTGTAGTTGAGAAGCTGAAGCCTGGGCAGTATCCCATCCTGGAAGATGACCCCACAGTAGGAAAAGCAAGGTACACCTGAGCTTAGATGTCGGTGGTTAATTTTACTGTCTGCCAGAATACCACGTATTGCTTGAATATAAAACATTATCCAGGGATAACAACCTTAAATGTGAAGATGCGAATATTCTGCATTTCTTCTTAGAAAAGTAATTGTCAAATTCTTAAAATTTCATTCTCAAATTTTTCTTACCCTAAGTTACTAATGCTATTTGATCTGCTTGAAAATAGCTTGAGGAATACGCTGATATGTAAAGCTGAGTCATTGATCTAGTAACAAATCTCATAAAGAGCAAAAGTAAATAAACGGTTCATATTTTAAACACTTTCTAAAAGACATTTATAATCTCTAATGTTCACCTAAAGGAAAATAATCCGAAACTGAATTTGCACTGTTGTGATATATGAAATTTGTCCACTACTGTGTCTGTCTTTCCTTAACATTATCTAACAGCATCTGTCTCAAAAAACCCCAACAAACGGAGACAGGCCTTGCTCCGGTATTAAGCGGCGGGCATTCTTCCGCGTACATCAGTGTGTTGTGTATCCAGCGAACAACTGCAAAGGGCTCCATTTCGCGAAAAAAAGGCTCTTGTGTTGCCATTTACCACTGTAACCTGAAATGGAAATAGGCATAACGAAAAAGCCTGCTGGGTGCATCTGCCATGCCTAACTGACCAGCAGATGCATCTACAGAGGCATGAATAACCCTTCATCTGCCTTGCTCTCCACCTGTTGCTGTTCTTTAAATGTGCTCTTCGCTGTGCTCAACAGATCGGCTTTTGCCTTCATTTTGCTCCTTCTAGTTCCTGCCTGTGTAGAGGACGACTGCAGTGGAGCTAGCAAGATACTTGACAGTAACTTCTGAACACATTTTCCAACTTTGATGAGTCTCTTGAGTGCTTTCTCTGCTCATTGCGCTATTTTTGATGCTATGGTTTGAGCTCAGGAAGATGGTCTGGTTTTGCTGTAGTCTTTGTATTGAGGTTGGTGGACTTCCACGCTAATCAGTGGAGCTGCAAGAGCCAGGTTTTTGAAAGTGTTGACGCTTTCCTCTGCTCAGCGTGATAAAGCTTAAGTCTCATTTTTTTGCATGTGACTCAGGCATTTAAGAGGACTACTCTGTCTCTCAAGTTCTAGTGGATCTAACTACAGCAGTCTGCCCTACTGCTCTGCCCAGGAGCAGGAACAGTGGGAGTACCGAGCTGTGTAGGACACCAGCTGAGGAGCCACATATTTGCATGTATTTGTTCCTCCTAGGTGGTGGGGAGACAACACCTTAAACCACCAGAGCTGTAACGACACAAGTTCATGGAAGTGAACTCTCTTGGTTCTGAATTCAAGAAACGGATTTAAGTAACATTGAACATCCCCATGGCTAGTGTTTTAGCACCTGGCTTTGAGAAGGGTATTCCTTAATCGGAGTTGGGTGCCTTACTTTCCCTGCAATGAGTGGTGAAAGCCAGACCCATCAAACAATTCACAGGTTCTAGAGCACCGGGGCTGAAGCCAGTACTTGGGAATGCAGAGAGGGATTTTTCTGCGATTCTTTCTCTCTGATTCAGAAGCCCAAGTCATTACATCAAGAGGCTGAGCCTCTTGTAAAACGCCACAGTAGAGGTGCTGCCTGCCTGAAACCTGTAGAGGACAGAGGCTGAGCCTGTCCTCAGCCTGGGGAATTCCAAACCCACCTTTCTCTGTGGGAAAGCTTAGCTGAGTTGGCAGCAGCTGCACCTGCTGCCTTCTACTTGAAGTTCTCCTGCAGTCTGTAAATAGTTCTTGAGTATGACGGTCTAGCCCAGCGATGAGGCATGCTTAAGTTTTTGTCCTTGGCAATTGCTTCTACTACTTACGTTAAAGCAAGAAGAGGGGCACAGAGTATCTCATGGCAGCCCAGTATCTTATGTCATGTCCACCCTTTGAAGAGATGAAAAGCAGAAGCTTGAACTTGTTCAGGCTGAACTGTTGGGAGAACCTGTAGAATTTGGGCCCCCAAGTAACTTTACTACTAGTTACTATTAAGTGAGGAAAAGAAACTCAGGTTTCTTTTGACTTGACTCCAGCTGTCAACAGGATCTTGGGTATGTCCGTGGTTCATCAGATAGATAGCTTCTAATTTGCTGGCCTAAACTTAACCACCTAATTTAATTCTAAATTGTATTTTAAATACCAGACTTCTTCCTGAGTCTGACCGTAGGCCTAAATTGCTTCTAAAAATCAGACTTGGGCCTTTCAGTACTGAGGAGCAGTACTGTCCTTACAACTTCAATGGTCTCGGTTTCTGTGGTTCCAGAGACAAAGGCAATTGTTTTTACTTTGCTTGGCAGATTAAAGACTCAAGACAAATTTCTTCCTATGGCATACTTTACAAGTAAATCAGTCTTTAAGCAAATATTTTCATCTGAGAAGTTAGGATTTCTTTATCCCAGTAATGTGAGAATTTTTAGGAAGACAGCTCTTCCACTGCTGCTTAGTTCCTCTCTGGCACAGCTCTACACAGGGCAAGAGGATCTCTTAAGGAAGTTAGATAACATTCCATTCAGGTTTCAACAAGTGATAAAGCCAGCTCCTCCTGGCTTTTAATTTTTACACTCTACCACTGATTGACAGTGCTCCAGTTCCCACAGCGGAGCAAGAGCTCCTGCCTCTCCGGGCCCTCCTCTTCCTTTGAGAGTCCCAAGGATTTAAAACCCAGGAGACTGAAACCACCAGGATCAGTGATGACGCAGCAACTTGCCACTCCTGCCGCCTTCTTCTGCATCATCTTGCTTGAGAACACATTTAAAATGCTTAGCACTGCTCTTTCCCCTGCTGCATTTCCTAAAGAGCTGATACCGCATCGAAGGAAAACTGTGCCCATACCAGTAAGTATCTTGCAGCTGTTCCGCTTAAACCTGGTGTGGTTAAATGAGAGGTCAATTTGCCTGCAGGGCCATTCCAGGTTATCTCAAAATTGGCCTACTCCATTACAGAAAACAGTGGTAAGATTTCTATCCATCGGTAACCTGTTAATCTCGCAGTCATCATTCCAGAACCAGTGATTTCACCCGCAGTTTGAATGGGGATACTAATACCATTCTGGAAAGATCTCTCATCTTGATTTTGGAAGGTCTTGGAGCGTTCTTTACCCTCAACCTAACATCCAGGCTTCCTTTTTCAGTTCCCTTCCCACTCCTTGCTTTACCATGCTGTTCCAGGCAAACAGTCGGACTGCCCGGGCAGCAACCTTGGCTTTTCCCCCTTCCTGTGAGTCTCATGACTATCCTCTATGGTTACATCTCATCATACACACACTGCTTAGCCACTCACCTCCGAATGCCCTGCCCAGCGAGGGATATGTATCTCTGACCCTCAGCGAGGCTCGCCCTCCCCACCCGCCACTTGTGTGGCAAGTGACCCCTAATTTCAGGGTTTAAAGCCCTGAAGTCATAGATCCACACCCAGCTGAAAAGCAGCAAAGCAAACCAGTTTGAGCAACTGGCAACAGGAAAAAGCTGTATTTGGTGTACGCGCTGCCACGTGCACCACCCAGAGCTGTCACTGCAGGTCTTGCTTCCAGTAAGAATCCTGGCTGCCCACAAACAAGGATTAAGGGACTTACTTTAACTAGATCCGTGCAGAGGCTAACAGGCATTTTTAAACATGTACGCAGAAGAAAACATGTATTAATCTGTGCGTTTATAGATAAAAGTCCGTAATAAAAGTTTTCAGAGCACCCAGGTAGGAAACAGTCAGCATAAGTTGCCAGCCTAGGCAAAAGGTGAGCCCTTACTGCCTTTGGTGTATGGATTTTAGTCAATGCTGTTGTGGCTGCATACCTAGCAGCAGAGGCACCTACTGCAACTGGCGTTTGTTTAAATGTTACGCTGGTGCTTGGGTAACTTCAAGAGTCGCCCTTATTAAAGCTATTAATGGTAATTTCTACTCTCACAAAGAGTTTTTATGGCACATACATACAAAGAGGAGGTAAACGTGACACAGTCTTGTGTCTCCTTCCCAAAAACATTATATAGGCAGATAGTTAAGTCGGGGAGAAGGGAAGGGAAGGAAAGGAGAAAAGGGAAAAGGCACATTTAGGTCTTGCATGCAATAAATAACTTCTTCATATAGAGACATTTTAGATATTTCAGGATATTCCCGGCAAGTAATTAAGGGTGTGTACAGGCTTAAGGGATGATAAACTGCAGCCAACACCTTGCGATCAGGTAACACACCCAGGAGCACAAACAAAAGCTTTGTAGATTACAGCATGAGTACTTACGGGGCAGATGGTTTGCTACTGAATATACAACATTACAAAACTTTGACTTCCATCCTGGCCATGAATCTTCAACTGAAGATTAGTTGGGGTTGCTTCTTTTGCTTAATCTAATCATACATTCCAACTTTATCTTTGCTAACATTTGCTTTAAGTAACTTCTAGTCTATCTAATCATAGTAAAATTTTAGGCACTGAAACCCACTTAATGCTTTCTGACCATTTCTTCTTCAAATGGCTATGCTGACATTAACGAGGACACAAATGGTGCCTTCAAGTTCTGTGATATTCTAGGCTATTTGCTGCTACATTGAGGTGAATTTCTGCCAAAGCGTGAAAGGTGAGTGGTCTACCTGACGTGAGTACATGTCCCCCCTACATCACGGACTTAAAGGGAAACTTCTCCCTTAATTAGCAACAATTTTAAGCTAATCTTTATAGTTTTCCATTTCATCCACTTATTACTGTAGTACAAATGAAAGTGTTTCCTTATAAATTCTCAGAATAAATTTATTATTCTATTTTCTTACTATTTAAATGCACTGTACTCCGAAAGTATGATTCCATGGGGCACTGAAGAATACAGTTGATTCACATGAAGTATTCCCTGAATCAAAGCTTTTTATCTATCCTAGGAGCAGCAGCAGCAGCTAGTTGCAATGGTATGTAATGTTTTTTTTGGATCAAGACAACATTCTTCAAATGCTTGGTCCTAGAGCACCCTGTCTTCCCTCTCCCCTCCCACAGGGGCAATGTAAGTATCTATTTCTTCTGTAAGTTAATAATGTGTCTTCAAGTAAGCTTTGCTTCACCAGCTCAAGCAATGGAAAAGTCAACTTCTTGTAATTTTAGAAACTCCCATGCTTACCAGTATATCATTCCCTACAGAGCTGCTGTGGTAACACCTGCAGTTTTGTAGTCTCTTCGTCATCGTCACACCAAGCAAGTAGCTCCTATGCTGTCCAAGCTGGGGTTTTAGAGCTACAGAAAATCCCACCCGTGTATTTCATACACAGAAGCGAAGTTCATCTAGTGCTACTAAAAAACACATTAGGAAGCAACATCCCTGGGACAATTTCAGTACTTGTTCATTCAACTGGCCCAACAATGCTACTTACAGGTATTTTAAAAACAAACCAAACGACTTTAGAAATGCATTAGCAGGAGCTGCGTGGCCAGGAATGCTGGTGTAATGCACTGTGGCTGGGGAAGCTTTAAGAATCAGTGCACGTGCTGCAGGCTTCGTGTGGACTCCAGGACTTCAATTGTATGAGGGTCTCAGCCTTTAGATTTAATTGTGGTTTGCTCTGTGCATGGGCGAATAGCCTTCAATGATTATGATCTATTTTTCACAATTTTTTATTTCATGTAATTTTCTGCTTTTTTTTTTCATGCTAGTAAACACTACTTTCCATATAGAATAGCCACTATCACTTTTGCAATAAACTTCCTATGGATCTGTACACAAAAATAATCGCACAGAGACAGGAAACCGTGACAGTCTCCTGCCAGATACTCCATATACAACAATTCTGTAAATACTACTTGGCATTTGCAGTTACAGACCTTCCTTCATCAGACATTTTCCATCCAAGCTAACTGTACTGAATATAAGAGTTAGCTTAAGGCCATTTGGCAAATTAAATGGTTTAATCCCAGGTGGGGATATTATTTTACACACTATGAAAGGCATATTGATGGATATTGCTTGCACTGCATTAACATCTAAGACGCTTGTAGTCCAGATCTTACATTGTTCTTCTGGCCCTGCTATTCAAGCTGTTGGCAAAAATAAATACAACCCTCAACAGCCCACTTCTTCATCATTACACCTCTGCTTTACCTTTAATATTGAGGGTACCTATCTCACTTACTTAATTTAAACTATTTTATGTATCCTCTCAATTTATGAAAAGTTCTTTTTCCTAAATGGGAGAAATATTTTGTACATGTAAAATGTTTTATTTTAAAATTGTCCCTGAAATATATAATGTACAGAAGTGCATTTCTGAATGAAAAAATGAGGTACATCATATATGAATCATACATGTTGAGAAGAGACGTATCAGACATGAGCTCCTATATATAGGAAATAATGAAATATTATTTCCGGTAGTAAAGTAACTCCTATTTTCCCAATATTTATATTCACACCTCATGCAGATAAGACCCAGGTAGAAGATGAATTTCTAGAGGAGTCATTCAGACACCGTATTGCACCCATTGCAAATGTTAGTGTGAGTATTTAACGCAACTTCTCTAAGCCATGCAGACTAGCACTGTATGCAGGAACTTGCCGGATATGCAGGAGACTTCCTCAGCGATTAAATGAGCTACTGGTGGGAACTGTAAGTGTGTAACTACAGGCGATTCCTTTTGCTGTGAAAACGATGACCAGAGGCAGACAGAATTTAGAATCATCAGTACTCGAAACAATCCAAGATAAAAAGAACCAGGTAATTGCAGACTCAAAGTATACCATACGGAAACATATGGGGCTATTTTTATGTCTAATTACTGATAGATCAGGTCAGTCTCTAATTCAGCAAATCTCATGCACAAGTACACATCGTTCTAATACCTAACTATAATAACTGAATACAAAAATGTAGTTATACAACCGCTTAGAGACCTTAAGAGTCCCTTCATGCTGAAATTTCATTATTGCTCTTTTTTAATATGAGTGGATTTAGGAGTGTTATATTAGTACCACAGCATTTTATGAATTTCAGGAAGGAACTACAGACGGTATATATATACATACATATATAAGCTCAGTAAGTGAGACAGAGTTCCAGCATGAGATATTTACAAAAGTTAAATTAATTATTTCCTTTGGGGTTTTTTTTCAGGAAAGAAGTGAGAACAATTACAGGAAAAATGACAGAATTTTTCTATGTTCTTCATATGTACTAACTCTTAAATAAGGTAAACTAAATAAATTACTTTAAAGTATTTGACTCCAGGGTGGCAACTGTATTTCAGGTGTATAACTGAAAGCTCTTTGTACCAGCAGATCTGCATTTAACCAACAACAAACATAGGCATAAGGATTGCTAAAGTAGAGTGAGCAGGCTGTGGGATTGGAAGAACTGAGGAGGAAGATGACTGTTTGCACTATGTTTTCCTGGTTTAATTTTCTTTGAATGCCGTATTGTATTTTATTTACTTGCTATTTCTGTTTAATTGTTCAAGACTGTATTTTACTATTTAGTATTTGCTTGTATATGGTTTTACTTAATTTTTCAAATTATATTTTAGTTAATACCCTGCAAATTATATACACGAAAATACAGCTGTGTAAAGGGGGCAAGGGAGGGGAGAAAAAAGTACCTGTGGCAATGCCTGGTTTCCTAAATTCCTCCTCCCAGGCCGGCCTTTCTCTCTTTCCTTTGATACAGAAAGTAAAACTCAGATAGACTTTCATGAAGAAAGATAAAAGTCCAAACCTAATCTTACAATGATGCTACTGCTATTTGACTCAAGACATAGCTGTAATGTTCAGTTCTTATTACTGCAGTCATTTCAGTATCTATTTTACTGTAAACTTAAAGAAAAAAGTAAAACCCTGAAGTAATTATTTCAGCCTGAAAGTTCCCCCATGGGTGTACTGGTAGATGAAAAGCTGGACATGAGCCGGCAATGTGCACTCGCAGCCCACAAGGCCAATCCTATCCTGGGCTGCACCCAAAGCAGCATGGCCAGCAGGTTGAGGGAGGTGATTCTGCCCCTCTACTCCGCTCTGGTGAGACCTCACCTGGAGTCCTGCATCCAGCTCCGAGCCCTGAGCACAGGAAAGACATGGACCTGTGGAGTGGGTCCAGAGGAGGACTGCAAAAATGGTCTGAGGGATGGAGCACCTCTCCTATGAGGACAGGCTGAGAGAGCGGGGGGTGTTCAGCCTGGAGAAAAGAGAGACCAGGGAGACCTTATTGCAGCCTGCCAGTACTTAAAGGGGGACTATAGGAAAGATGAGGACAGACCTTTTAGCAGGGCCTGTTGCAGTAGGACAAGGGGTAATGGTTTTAAACGAAAAGAGGGCAGATGATTTAGACTAGATATTAGGAAGACATTTTTCACAAGGAGGGTGGTGAAACCCTGGCACAGGTTGCCCAGAGAGGTGGTAGATGCCCCATCCCTGGAATCATTCAAGGTCAGACTGGACGGGGCTCTGAGCAACCTGACCTAGTTGAAGATGCTCCTGCTCATTGCAGGGGGGTTGGGCCAGATAACCTTTAAAGGTCCCTTCGAACCCAAACTACTCTATCATTCTATGAATTTAACTTTTCATGTCTAAGTGTTAATGGTACTTAGTTCTCTCTAAGCAAGCTCTCCCTGTCTTACTTTAAATGGCACCAGGCTTATCTTAATAGCTGAGGATTTAAATAGGTGACCCTCATGAACGTCAGCCATGCTTTCAGAAAGGTGCCAAAATGGTGCTACTTACTGTAAGTGCAAAATTTGTGAAACCTCTGCATTTTCTTGACTGTTTTGACAGTCAGCGCTACGAAGACAATATGAACTGGAACATAACACCAAAAAGAGATAAGACAGATTTCTGATACTGAAAAGGATACATCTAATTCACTCTGCAAGGAAAAGAGATAGACAACCATTAGTTACAGTTCAATCTTTCATCTCACAGTCATTTAATATTACACATGCCTTCAGAGGATAAAGAAAGTCTTCAAAATACAGATACAGAATTTTATGGTGACTCAGATTTCTCTTCTGGACTGTACAATTACGTGCTCTTTCGCGCAACACTCCTTTGCCTTTGTTGTGTTACCTACCTGCGTAACAAAAGCTAATGTTCTGAAATTTTTACTTAGAAAAACCCACTGAGGTCACCCACAAGTGACAATTTGAATATATGCAGTGCCATCTCAATGAGTGGGTGGAAAACCAGCATCTCTAATCATGGCTACTCCAGCCTTGTATTCTCTCTTCCTCCTTCTGCAAAAACAGGATGTTAATACTAAGTTTACAATTCATATAAAAACACAATTTAAAATGTTGCTGCAGATCATGTCAGCAGCAAAATCTAGATGTGGTAGATACCCATGGCTGCGGTAGCTGTGGCTGGATATATTAAGAGAAGGAAGGCAACTCCAAGCTTTGGACACTCAGCGATTCTAGCTATTGCTCCAGCCCCAGCAACACAATTCTTCATATAGTCATCATTTCCCTGCTGGTCTTGGCCTGGATTTACCCCAAGTAGTTTTATTCATTTAACCAAAATGTCTGAGTTAGAAGTCCTTGTGGTCTCTCTGCAGTCATCAGAAGAGATGGGTATCTTCAACAGTTGACTCGGCACACTTGAGGCATGACTCATTTTCTCGAGATACTCCTCTGTCTCTACTGCCAGCAATAGGAGCTTAGGATAAGCAAACTTCTAACTTAGGTGCCTCAGTTAAATGTCTAAATTTAGAAACAATTAATCATAGCCTCAGCAGTTAAGGTCTTGCACAGTTGGGGTGGAGCTTCCCCAGTCTCTCCTGAAAGGGGATCTTGGTCTGCTACTAAGGGAATTTAGCATGGTTGCCATTCACAAACTGCCTAAAACCAGGGTTAGAGTTCCCACTGGTAAAATTGCTACTACTTCTATGGTCTAAAGATGCTGTAAACTGGACTAGTTCTAGCCTACAGGCTTCTGCTGAGTGACTCTGCCATTCTTCAATTAGAAATTTTTTATGCATCACAAAAATTGTATTTTAAGAGCCTGATCTGTTTAAGTTTCCTCAGCGTTAAAAAGTAGTTGAAAACATGGGAGTAGGCATTCTGAACACTATGCAGAATTTTCCCCTGGGTAGCCATTATAAAAGTGAAGGAGACTCAGAATTACATCTCACAAGCAACTTTGAAAGCTTTCACCTCAATTCTGTTAATGATTGTTCTGATATTTGAATTCAAGCTCTGTAAACTCCATTAGATAAAAATAGAGTATGTGAGAATGTTTAAAGCTCACAAGCCTAAAAATAATAGATGACAAAATGTCCTTCTAGAGCAGGACAGATGTTCTTTCCTTTCCCAGAGTTTTGTCTCAGTTGTCATCATCATAATTTGGGATTCTATTAAAATTCTGCAAATTGTAAACATTAATCCATAATAGTGCAGACTTATACTTTCTTGCTCTGTGGTTTCTGCCAGAAACCCCAGCTAGAATTATAGCCCTCTTCTTCAGATCTCTGCCGTTTATCATGTTATATGTTATTAAAAATAGAACCACGGAATGGCAGGAGATTTCTTTACCACCCCCCTTTTTGGTTCCCCTAGTTTCAAACCTTAAATGCTATGGAAAATATAAAAAACTCTGGTATGATGAATTCATCAACTTTCTAACAATTATCAGTGCTTGGGTTATATACGTGGTCAAGGAATTATATGTACTACATTTATATGTAGAAGAACTACATCTATTTTTCCTCTGCCTGAAGTGAAGAAAATAAAACTTGAGAAGTAGTTGGAAACTATTAGCTCAATTGAATAAATAAGATGTGACTAAATTTTTGTGCATTCCTGTGCTGCCGAGATCAAATTCCATTCCTGGTTATCACTGCTTAGGTTGGCACTGCAAGCATAACGATTTTAAGAGACAAATTCTGAACTTAGTACAATCAGACAGTGATATACTTAGCACCAGCTGTTTCAACAGGCTGGTGTGATATTACTTGAGATAATAGCCTAAAACAATTGCCAGGCATCTAAATAGTGAAGGGTGCAGATGACTTTTCCAAGCATGCCTTTGAATTCACAGAGGGAGCTCTGCCATGTCTGCCGTGGTCCTAGCACTGCAAAACCAGTTACAGACCCTGCACACTGATCCCTTCTACATATAATTACCAACGTAATACCCTCAAGCACATGGACTACGGAGGGAACTCTATCCAGTCCTCTTTCCTGAGAGGGATACCCGACACATTTCAGCACAGACAAACTGAAATTGTGCCGAAGTACGATTTCAGGCAAATTTGTTTATAACCAGATTATTACGAATCCTATATTAAATAGCACGTTCTAACCAGGATTATAATGCTGCAATTTCAAACTTTATTAAAACAAACAAACAAAAAATCTCCCACCAAAAGGAGCTGTGTCATTTTAACTGGAGACATGTCTGATGTTGAATCCTTAACGAAATGTCTATCTACAATAGCTGTTTTATCAGATATCCACTGTTGCATGACAACAACATGGGGAGCACAAGCACAGACTGGTTTTTGAGGTTTCATTTGTGCTCCATCCCTCTGATCTTGTTCAGTGAGAGTGATGTCAGTTCCCTGCTTAATGCTTACACCATCGTTATCATGAATGAAGTGCATTTGGGGGATGTAATGCTAAGAACTGAAAAGATAAACCTCTTTATTTCTTTAAAATGTGTAAAATGCCAGTGGCTATTTTAAGAGTAGATGACTCAAAGAAACCCCTGAGTATAAACATACAAAAACATGCTTTTCCAACAGAAATATTTCCAGTATTCCTTGTCTGATGATTTATAACCCACATATACCTTTACTTCTCTGAAAAATCAACTAATACTGCTTTTTTTCTTTTTTTTTTCTTCTTTTTTTTTTTATTCATGCTAAGGTATTCAAAATTCTAAATGAATATGAAAAAAATATTTTCTCTTTTGAGTTACTCCCTGAAATGACATATTCACTGAGTGTTTTAAAAGAGAAGAAATATTTTAGAATGAATTCAATGTCTCACTCACCACTCTGCTGAAGTATTTGTCCAAAACTTCCACAAAGTTATGAATTAGTTCATATACTGCCATCTCATTCTGAAATTACAGACAAGTAATATTAAATTAAAAGCTAGAAAATGTAATAATATTCTTTGTATTATTTCAGGTTGTTGTGTATGAAAAGCAACTAGGAAAACACAGTAAGACCTACAATAAAGTGCACGAGCTCAGGCCACCATAGCAAGAGGAGGGGTGGTTACTCAGCGGAGGAACCAAGAGCAGGGAAGTGCTCAGGAGCAGAAAATTCAGGCCAGCCACATGAGTGAGCACTGCAGTACCTCGTGGATTTGTCTCACTTGGGCTGCTGCCATCCCACTGCATTCTTTCTTCTACCAGCACCCAGGTTAGCCAGATAGACACAGCTAACTAGGCTACGCCTACCCGTGCTGAAGTCACACCGGCCAGCTGCAGTGCAGAGCCAGGCTATGCTGCAGCAGTACAGATGAGTGATTTTTGTACGGTGTAGCAGAGCCAGCAGGATTTGCCCAGAACTCCACGCCATTATAACCCTGACCTGAAGACACTGGTAGTCAGCAGCTACCTTCCACACCGCCCCATTTAAGTCTCCAATAGTAAGCTTTGGATTAACTTCTGAGAACCTGGAATCAGTGTAAACACTAAAGCCTTGCAGGCTCAGGCTGAACAGATGAAATAACAGTACTTGTCAACTTTCAGTCAGATAATTCTTTTTTTTTAAAAATACAATGAATTGGCATCTTTCTAGCTGACAGTATGGGAGTATTTTCTTTGGCCAAGGAGGTTAAAAATAGTGAGCAGTTGGGAAGTCACCGCAGATGAGACAGCCGATCTGGCTGTAATGCTAACGTTTGTCG